TACGCACTTGGAAAACGAGAAGCAGAGTCCCAGAAACGTGTACAACATCAGAGACTAAGTTGTTGAGTCTGAGAATTGTTTGTTTTTCATATCTTCCAGTGATAGTTTTATGATTTTTGATTATTATTGGTGCTTTTTGGCAAGACATAACAGTCACTTTTTTATACAAAAAAATATGACAATTCCAGTAAGTAAATCATGGTAGCTAAGTGCTTTGGGCAAACAAACATGTGCCTTATCTCTTCCAAAAAAGCTGTGGAAAATGTATGATAAATTGCACATTTCAGAGAACATGTTATGTCACTGTGAAATAACTTTGATTCATGGTTATGTAGTTATCTTTAAACAACTGACAAACCTCGGGGTATCTAAATTATTATCATTTGCTTTATGCTTCTGTGTTTTTTTTGCTAGAGAAGCCTGAAATGATATACAGTAAGATAGGGCTTCTGCTTTTTCAGTCATGACACTGTTTTTTTGGAGGCAAAAATCGAAAACGCCTGCTAGATTTGATTTTTCTTTTCCTTTCTTTTCTCTCTTTTTTTGGTGGGGGATGAGGTTCTGCTCAAAATGGTTAACAATAATATAATCGTGTTTTTACATGCATTCCTGCAAACTTCAGGCAGAAAAGGATAGTGCCCATTTATGGAAAGTTTTAGAATAGAACAGCAGTATAAAAATATACCAGCATTTTAACTTGTTATCAAGTAATTATTCAGAAAATTATTAGGAGGCAAACTGAGAAATGTGATTATTTAAACTGTGCGTCTGCATAATTTGGAAGTACTTTTGGAAGAAGAAATATCAGAGGTTTTGCTTGCTTTGTAAGGAAGAAAAGGTAACACTGGGGTATCCAGGAGAGGTTTTGTACATCAACTCTTCCTACTTATAATAACACTTCATTACTATAAGTGTAATACAGAAATGCTGAGTCAGGCTTGAAGCCCCATTGCCAGGAATGCTGTGCAAACATCTAGTAAAAGACTTTCTGTATTCAGAGAAGCAAATTAATTTTCACAATGGATTTACTGTTTGTATTTCTGTGGTGCATACAGCTCATAACTGGGATTGGAATCCCATTGTGCTAATGCAGAGTGAGTAACATTTCCTGGCTGGAGGAGCTTGCAATCCGAATAGACGAGGCAGACAAAGGGGGAGACGAGAAACAAAATGGGGAAGATATTTCTAAAGGTCATACAAGAAGTTACATACAGGGCTAAGAATAGAATTAGAGTCGCCTGACTCCCTGTCCAGTAACACATCCACCAGGCAATGCTGCTTGCTGTTCTCAACCCTTTTAGGTTTAAGGCACCCCTCAGAAAATGTCATCTCTTAGCTTTCACTTGGTTTTTGACCAGTTGTTCTGTTGCAAAGAACTCCAAAAGACGACAACAGGTCAGAATGGTTTTAACACTATGGGATTCCTTTTGGAAAACTTGGGTTTTTTCCTTCTGAATCATGTTTTCACACCTGCCAGCGCTAACATCGCATGGCACCCCACAACACCCTTGAATGGGTCTCAAGACACCTCAGGGTGCCACGGTACACTGGTTGAGAATCATTGCGCTAGATTATGCCAGTTTTAAAATGATACGGCATTTTTCATCCGAATTATTTTGACACTGTCCCCTTAAATACATCTGCTGAAATTTCTTTCAAATATTAATCATCCATGAATTGAACAGAATATATTTATCTGTTGTTCCATTTACTGCAGAATGCTCTCTATTCTTATCTGCACTGAACAGTAGCAAGTGTTGGTTACTTGGAGGTACAAAAATAGAAAATGATAATTGCTGTACAAGACGGAAGAGACTTTGTTTACGTCTCTTTATTTGCAGTGTTTGCAGCATATTTCATTTAACTAAACTATCATTTCACTTTTAGATAAATGTCAACTGATTCAAATATACTATCTATATATGTATGTCAACTGATTCAAGTGTGTGTGTGTATACACACACACACACACACACACACACACACACACACACACACACTCTGCATGTAATTATATATATATATATATATATATA